AAGATTCACACAAGAAGAACAGCGAACAGTGAAACTCATTCAGGAGCTGTTTGGAGAGAAGGCAGCAGAATACACCATGGTCCTGTTCACCCGCGAAGACGACCTGGAGGCCGACGGAGTCTCTGTAGAAGAGACAATCAGTGGAAACAAAGCTCTGTGGACTTCATTGGTCAGTGTGGGAGAAGATATCATGTTTTTAACAACAGAGCCAAGGATCCCTCAGGCTGGGCCTGAAACTCTGATCTGCTTTATGAGCTTTATGCTGCTTTATTTCAGCATATATTTTGTCATTTGTAAACAATTTCTTGTCATTTTGGATCCTTTTTAGTCATTCTGAATTTTTAATTTTTTTATCATTTTGTCAACAATTTAAGTTTGTTGGATGAATTTTGAGTCATTTTAGATGATTTCTGTCATTTTAGACAAATGTTTGTTGTTTTGGTTCATTTGAAGTGATTTCAGTCAGCTTTCAATAGTCTTGGACATTGTTTTTCTGTGTATTTATTTACTCGTTTTTAATCATTTTGGACAGTGTGTGAGACTTTTGGACATTTCTGGTTCATGCTCAACAAGCTTCGAGTCATTTTCAGTTCTCTCTCCTTCTGTAAATGGTGCAGGATGGCAGACGTGGACGAGACTTCTTAGAATAAACAGAAGACTTACAGGAATCAGGATGTCAACAGCAGAAACAGGGGAAACAGCAGAAACAGCTGTGTTGTTCATTTGTAACTTTGACTTTCTGTCTGTGATCTGATAATTCAGGGTGTGTTGTCAGGACTATATAAGATGTAAGTGAAAGTATTCAGGACACAACTTCAACCAGCAGCCTGAGATCAAACCTGTCCAGTAGCAAAGCTCTGTGTGGTGAGTTTTTACAGCTTTAAACATTCTTTACTGTGACAGATCTGAACTTCAGACTAACACATTCTGTTTCATTGTACTCTGATTACTTTATTTATATGTGTGACTTGTTGGTGTTTTGATCACTTTGGGTCTTTCAGACAATTTCAAGTTATTAAAGATAAATTCTTGTCATTTTGGATACATTTTTGTAATATTGCACAATTACTGTTGACTTTTTTGAGTCATGTTTGATCATTCTTTGTCATTTGTCTATTTTAAGACATTTCAGACAAATTTCGAGTCAATTTCAACATATAGTTTTGACACAGTTTCTTGCCATTTTGAACAACTTTGAGTCATTCGAGGCTTTTATTGTCATTTTGTCAACAGTTTAAGTTTTTGTGGACATTTTTTTCTTTTTCATTTTGGATGTTTCCTGTTATTTTAGACAGAGCTGGCCCGAGGCATAAGCGACCAAAGCGCCTGCTTAGGGCCCCGGTCACCAGTAGGGGGCCCCCAAGAGCAGTTAACTTTTTAAAAAAATCATTTGTACACTTTCATGATTAAAATTACGTAGACTACAATTCTTTGCATGTTTGAGTGATGACCCATTTATTAACAAAGCTATATGGTTGTATAATAACCCAGTATGAAGCAAACAGAGCTCTGCTGGTGTAGTGATTCTGCTCTCTCTGATCTCAACTCAGTGCTGCTGCAGAGCAGAACTCATCCCAAGAGCAGCTTGATCTGCAAAATGTCACAGAAAAGGACGTATCCCGAGGATGCTGGACAAAGCAAGAGAATAAAGAAGGAAGAGGAGAAAAAACAACAAGAAAAAGGTAACTTTCCTCGAGTTCAGAAAGTCCCTGAATGTCCCTGACATTTTAATCTAACTGGTTGAGTGTCGCCTGTAACAGCTAATTATACTATAGACACAACAGTATGATTAGCTGTAGAGTTTTCTCTTTAACTATTCAATTGTTTATGTTACTAGTCAAGCTCAGGTTTTGTGTTTGTGTAATGCTGAGCTTTAACGTTGATTAATGTGATTCTCAATACTCTGGGTCTCTTTTTCCAAAACGTTTTTGGCATCAAAAACAACCTGCAAACATTTAGACAGTTACAAAGGACTGGGCATTTGCTAGCAAACATGTTGACTTAATATGTATTTGCAATAATGTAGGCCTGTTGGTATAAGTTATAGATTGAAATATGCTTTTTACAATAAATGTTTGCTGCAGACCAAAGTCATTTATGTGGGTAAAATGAACTTTCTATATTAATGTGCTCATAATTTATATGAAACTTGACCAGGAGCTCTGTTAAAGTATTTTGGAGGCAGTGACAGGCAGGAAAGTCCACTTCAGACTTAACTGATACTCAAGCATCAGGGAGGAAAAAACTGTCCCTGTATACATGTAATGTCTGGTCACATGATGTCAGTAAGATTTACTATAATACAGAATCACATGACAAGAGACTTATTTTAGCCACATCTGTTCATTTACATAGTTATTTAAGTATTTATTTGTATGTATTATTTCTGTTTTTATTGTATTTAATCATGTCTGTTTAAGTGGTTTTAGGTATAGTTCTAGTTTTTGTTGTACTTTGGTGTTACAGTTTATTTAAAACCAAAAATAAAGCAGTTGATATTTTACAGTAAAAACATTTTATTTTGGTTTATTTGTTACTTTCAGTGGGCCTATGACATTCAATATCTCAGTTAAATAAGTCACTTTAAATATTAAGTGTAAATCAATCCCAGGCCTCACTTGTAGGTGAATTTACGACCATTTCAGATTATAAACCGTAGATGGGTGAAAACATACCTGGTATATCAAAGGATGCTGTAAACAGCACTGCTGCTGCTGTGCAGCTCTTTGAGCTTTTATATTTTGCTTCTCTGTGCGGCCAGCAGGGGGAGTTGCTGACTTTTGCCAAATATTAACAGTAAGATTTTTCTGCTGGTTTGCAAATCTGCTTCAACGACCTTTATCACTGTGGATTACAATCGAACAACAAGAAGTCTCACATTGGGTTTTACGAGTGTATTCGTTATAACAGATTAAAAAAAGAAATACGTTTATAGTCGGTGTGTGAATGATCATTGATCAGTGTTGTCAACATTAATGGAGGGCCCCAAAAATCCTGTTTTGCTCAGGGCCCTTTGGAGGCTTCGTCCGGCACTGATTTTAGATTTTTTTCTTGGGATGTTTTTGAGTATTTGTTCATTTAATCAACTGACAGCTTGTCACGCCCTCCACCTCTCCCCTTTTCCCTCTCTCTCTTTTTCCTTCTCCCTACGTTGCAGTAATCAAGCCAACTAAAAATAAATGCATGGACAAGTTTTTTTTCCAGGTCCAGCTGAGGTCTCAGTCCTTTTCTGGTCTGCTCTGTGGTTTTTAGTTGTATAGATTGGAATCAGAATCAGTATCAGAAACAGATTTATTGCCAGGTATAGTTCCCACAATAGGAGGAATTTGTTCTGGTGGCTTGATGCAACAAAACAGCAATAAATATACAGTAAACAATAAATATACAGTAAAATAAAGTAACTATGTGTAACTAATGATATGCTGACGTCTAATCGCCCCTATTTTGGTCCAAAAACAACTATCTTTGTTTTGTCTTTGTTTAACCAAAGACAGTTCTGGCACTTCCACTTATTTTTTCAAACATTTACTTAGTGCCTGTATAGGGCCATGGTCTCCTGGTGGTGTTGTAATGTAGAGCTGTGTGTCATTTGTGTAGCTATAATAACATAGTTTGTTGTTTTCTATTATCTGAGTTGGTGGGAGCATGTAGATGCTAAATAGAAAAGGCCCCAGGATGGAGCCTTGGGGAACTCCACATGTAATTTTTGTCTGCTCTGATGTAAAGGTGCCTATAGAAGAGTACCATTGCTCTATTGCATGAGAAGTGGTATAATAATAAAGTTAGATTTGATTTGATTTGATTTGAAAGAAAACACAGTAATGATCAGACAGGCCAACATCAGACACAATAAAGACGAGATGTTCAGACCCTTGGAGATAAGCAAGTCCAGAGTGTGTTGCTTATTGTGTGTGGACTCCGTTAGATGCTGAGTCAGCCCAACGGTGTCAAAAATGTTTCACAGGTCTTTCGTCCCTTTGTCCTGAGGGTTGTCGACATGGATGTTGAAATCACCTACAATAGTAACACAGTCAAAATCAATACAGATCATAGCCAGGAATTCATTAAAATCATCAAAAGTCTGCACAGTATCTATGAGGCCTGTGAATATAAAGAAACACTGCTTGGGATGAGGCCTTCACCTGAAGAGCGACATATTCAAAAGAAGAAAAAAATCCAAAAACTAACTGTTTACATTGAAAAGACTGAAGATTAAATAAAACTGCAATTCCACCTCCTCTCTTGTGTACTCTTGCCTCAGTGATAAAACAGAAGTTGGGAGGGGTTGACTGTTGAACAACAGCTGTACAGTTATTTTGGTCTAACCACGTTTCAGTTAAAAACATAAAATCATGGTTGTCGTCAATGATAAAATCGTTGGTTAAAAATGTTTTTCCTGTGAAAGACCTGATGTTTAATAAAGCCAGCTTAGTGTTCTAGGAGTTTTAGCTGCCCAATGCTTGGGGACAGGCTACTATGTTTGATAAATTTGCGTAATCGTAATTTGTGTTTCTCAACAGAGGCTTTTATGTTTTTCTCAGAACAGAAATTTTGGAACCTACTAACATAGAGGGCCCCGGGTTATCCTGGGAAAAGTCATGACTGCTGCTGTCCTCACAGCCTGGACCCTCCACTTATCAGCTGAAGCTTGGTACATGTTGAACACAAGCAATCATGTCCTCCTGATCAGACTGAGGAGGTAGAGCCCGATGCTGACGGAGGGGGCTGGGTGTCGTGGCTTTGATGCCTGTGTTGAAACTGGTGGAGCGGACGCCATGTCAGGCTTATGGGAGGTAACATGGGAGAAGCCCGGGGGGTACATTTGAGTCCAGCGGTGATCAGCTCCTTCATCTGGTCAGTAAATTCCAGGTGGGGGGGAGGAGGGAGAAGGACAGAGTAGGGATGAAGACGACCTGTCCGGGGTTTGACGGGGTGATGAAAGTGCATCGTCATGGTTTTCGGTGTAGTTGAGGGAGTTGGGAGCAAGTGGAGGCCCTTCCTCTTGACTCTCATGTGTCTCCTTGGCTGAGGACAGATGTAATTCTTCAAGGTTTCCGTTGCCCTGTGTTTTGTCTTTCCTCTGTGGTAACTCCTGTTGTTTCTGATCCTTGGTAGAGGACACAGATAGATGATGCAGGAAGTCAAATAGGTTAGAGGTGAACAGTTTCACTGCAGACTGATTGAGATGAAGTCCATCTGAACTAAAAGAGAGGCCTTTGTTCACAGAAGATGTAGAAATTGCACATGCAGATGAAAGCCACTTATTCAGTGGCTTTCACAATCTGCTGAATCTCTCCTCCTCTGACCGGTGGTATGAGGCCACTGATGAACACGTCTGTGTTCAGAGAGCTCACTGAGTTTAACAGTCCAGTGAAGTCAAACCTTCAGACTGGTTTGGATGCATCGTTTCACCCAATATGCCGAGTGATATTTTTGACAGTTGGATAAGTGACCACAATTTTCGGGATTGTCTCTCATGTCGGTGACCGTGTCCTTAGGAAAACGGAGTACTTTGGTGTTTTTACTGCACATCCTGTGTACATCCTTTACAGCAGAATCCCTCACAATCAGAGTTTCAGGCCCAGCCTTTAGCTTTTCCTGGGGCCTCTTATTCCTTGATGTGTAGAGTTACCTTTGACCCCGTTTTCTGTTTCTGTAATTCCTGAGCTTCTGAACCCGATCCATGACACAGCTGTGTTCCAGCAGCTTCTAATTCATTGCAGACCTGCTTTTTGGTGATTCTTGGTTGAGTCTTGACCATCCTGACCAACTGTCTCTCAGCAGTAACTGGATGTGTTATATCTTCCCACAGGTGAAGAGGTAGCTCACCTCAGGGTGGTCCTGGTTGGGAAAACTGGAGCTGGGAAGAGCGCAGCAGGAAACACCATTGTAGGAGAAAAACGTTTTGAATCCATGTCATCGGCTGGTTCTCTGACAGCTGTATGCAAAAAGGAAACAGTAGAGATTGGAGCTCAAATGGTGGCTGTAGTCGACACTCCTGGTCTGTATGATACCAACAAATCTCAAGATGAGGTGAAGACGGAGATCGCGAAGTGCATCTCCTTCATTGCTCCTGGTCCTCATGTGTTCCTGGTGGTGATCCAGGCAGGAAAATTCACACAAGAAGAACAGCAAACAGTGAAACTCATTCAGGAGCTGTTTGGAGAGAAGGCAGCAGAATACACCATGGTCCTGTTCACCCGCGGAGACGATCTGGAAGCTGATGGAGTCTCTGTAGAAGAGTTGATCAGTGGAAACAAAGCTCTGCAGGACTTCATCGGTCAGTGTGGGAGAAGATATCATGTTTTTAACAACAGAGCCAAGGATCCCTCTCAGGTCAGAGAGCTGCTGAAGAAGATCAACACGCTGGTTCAGAAAAATGGAGGAAGATGCTACACCAACGCCATGTTAGAGGAAGCTGAGAAAGCCATAAGAGAGAAGCAAGAACAGCTCCTGAAAGAAAATCCAGACATAAAGCCTGCATATGCAAGAACATGGGCTGAAAGGGACAACCCCTTTATTCAAGCTTTTCAGATGGGAATTGGAGCTGGAATTGAAGCTGTGGGAGCTGGAATCAAAGCTGTGGGAGTTGGAGTTGGAAATGGAATTGAAGCTGTGGGAGCTGGAATTGGAGCTGGA